AAAGAGAGAGAAAGGGACTTTTCATTTTCTTTTTTTTTTTTTTTAAGATTTTATTTACTTATTTGAGAGAGAGAAAATGAGAGACAGAGAGCACAAGAGGGAAGAGGGCAGAGGGAGAAGCAGACCCCCTGCTGAGCAGGGAGCCCGATGCGGGACTCGATCCCGGGACTCCAGGATCATGACCTGAGCCGAAGGCAGTCGCTTAACCAACTGAGCCACCCAGGCGCCCCGGGACTTTTTGTTTTCAAAGCTACCATTGGCTATTAACTAAACTACACACATTCTAAAACTTAATGACCTTTTAACCGCCTAATATTTACCATGAAAAAGCCTGCACATCACCGTTAGGGTGGAGATCAGATCAGGCAAGAATCATCCACAGATGCTAAATCTAGAGGAAACTTCCTGGTGGGGCAAGATGTCTGTGTGGTTTTAAAGGGCTTACCCACAGACTGCTTATTAGTTGCAAGGGGAAATTCAGTAGTTATCTAAATGGAGAAACCAGAAAATATCTTGACTCAGTAATTGCAATGAACATCACCAGTGAGGGGAGATGTCATTGTTTGCCTCTGGATGTGCCACCAACGTCGTCTATAGGGCATTCCAGCCAGGAATGCATAGCCCAAATCAACACACCATGAGGTAACATCTGACCAAATGAGAAATGTTCTATCGGGAAAAGATATGGGGGCGCCTGCCTTCTTTAAAAATGCCAATGTCAGAAAAGCAAAAAAAAAAAAAAAAAAAGACTGTGGAAATGTTCTAGATTAAAGGAGGCTAAAGAGATACGACAACTAATTGTATTACCTCACGCTAGATTGGATCCTGTACTGAGGGAGAAAATGCTATCAAGGCCACTATTGGGTCAATTAACAAAATTAAAATATAGGCACTAGCTTAGACAAAAAATATTGTATCAGTGTTAAATTTCCTGAAGCTGATAGTTGTACTATGATTATGTAAGAAAATATCCTTGTGCTGAGAATACACGCAGAAGTATTTAGGGATAAAGGGCCATAATATATGTAAATTACCCTTAAATGGTTCAGAAAAAAATAGTCTGAGTATATACACATTTACATATATCATATTACAGAGCAAAAATACGTGCACAAGTAAAGAGAGAGCACAAACAATACAGTGAATGGGGTAAAATGTTAACAATGGGTAAATACCGGTGAAGACTTCTTTGGTGTTTTTTTTTGTATTATTCTAGTTCTTGCGAGTGTTCCGTAAGTTTGAAATTATTTCCAAATAAAAAGATTTTTTTATGTTGAATCTCAGATCTGTACCTCTGAAACAAATAATGCAATATATGTTAAGAAAAAAAAGAAGAAGAAGAAGAAGGTAGCGGGAGGGGAAGAATGAAGCGGGGGAAATCGGAGGGGTAGACGAACCATGAGAGACGATGGACTCTGAAAAACAAACAGGGTTCTAGAGGGGAGGGGGGTGGGAGGATGGGTTAGCCTGGTGGTGGGTATTGAGGAGGGCACATTCTGCATGGAGCACTGGGTGTTATGCACAAACAATGAATCATGGAACACTTCATCTAAAACTAATGATGTAATGTATGGGGATTAACATAAGAATAAAAAAAAAAAGATTTTTTTAGAAATGTTTAAGCCTTCAAATGCCCACTGCAACTTCCTCACTTACTCCATTTGAAGAGATGCTCCAACCGGAAGATATTCCACAGAAATGCACGAGCCCACTTTACCCAGTTGCCTCTGTCTCTGCTCTACCTGAATCAACACATCCTGTACTCAAAATCATCCCCAATCTCCAACCAATGAAGGGGTTATTGATGGCAGTCATGCACTATACGGATAAATTTTCATGCATAAAAGAAAATCAACAAAACAAAACTGCATGCTATCTTAAGCTGTATACTCTTCAACATTGGGATTCTCAAGCAATTTTACATTTGGAAATTTCCAATTATGGTCATATATGTCCTAACACTGGTATCCCAACACAGACACAAATTAACCAATAGACGGCATTCTGAAAGCATTCAGTCTGAGACATTCAGCACAGTTTGAAGAGACATATTCTTGTACGGCATCTTACTATCGCCCCTTTATTTAACTAAAAATGTTCTTAGTGTCTCTTTACCAACAGAAATATCCAGGTGGTTGGCAACTCAATCTAGACTTTCACTCAGTTATAGAAGCTGAATTAAAATCTGGCATTTCTTTCCGTTTGACTAAGATGAATAGATATCCATCACCACTTCGAATGGTGAAAGGAAGAACACCAGGCAGAAGGAAGATTAGCTTTAGTGGACCCCGCTGAAGCCCTGGGGTGTTTGCCAGAGCTCGTCGTCCTGGTGGGTCCTGAACCCCAACTGTCCACACGTGCACGAGCCTGCCTGCCGTGTGTTTGGCCCCACTCTCAGCCAGCATTTTCTGCTCAGCCTCCTAGCCTCCTGGTCACCTCTTTGTAGCAAGCAAATACCCAACATTCAATGTCAGGTCCACTTTTCTGGATTTCCCCTCCCCTCAGGATCTTGGTCCCTCAAGACTTTGCTGCATCCGTGGTCCTCCAGTGCCTTCCAACAAATGAGTATTCACATTTGTGCACCTGTCCTAGGTCTTCTCACCAGAAGAGTTAGGCTAAAATAAGACTCCTGCCATTACTGGATGCCATAGCTTGGCCAGAGAGAAATCTTGTTAGGGCATGTGTGAAAAAAAAAAAAAAAAAAATCAAAGATGGGAAGGCTGTGACTTTTATAGACATGGAAACAAACTTAGACTTAACAGCAACAACAACAAACTTGATAGAATGTAGTCCGCTATTCAACGTGTGACCCCGGAGCTTTCTTCCTCACACCCAAACACTTAACTACTTAACTTTGCACCCCCAGGGAGAGAAAGAGCCTCTCAGCGAGTTAAGGCAGTTTTTCCAACTACACAATGTGAATAATGAAAACAGACATTTTCTAGTATGGGAAGGTCCTGCATGCCAGGCCCTGCAAAAGCACTTCACTTTCAATCCTTACAGAAGGTACCATTATTATGTCCTCTTCTGCAGAGGAAGAAATGGAGACAGTACCTTTCCCAAAAAGCATACAGCTCACAAGGGGCCAAGCTAGGCTATGAACCTGAGCAGTCAACTATGGATTTGATCAAGCAAAGCGCCTTTCAGGGTGGGACTGCCTGGTAAGGTAGCTGAGAGCCAAAAAGGCTGAGAGGAGCCCAATTCACATCTTGTAAAGGTGAAATCCTTAGCCTTCGGTCTCCGTCAGCTGGTCCCCTTCGCTATGGCCCTACCTGTGTGCTGGTGTTTGGCCCCAGCGTCCACTCTCATCCATTCACTGCAGGCTGCCAGCCCATGGCCACTGCCCCTCTCTTCCGCGACCCCTCCCCCCCAAAAAGGGAAGGAAATGACATTTGACTCCTTGCACGCACCAGATGCTGGGATTGGCCCTTCACACCCTTTATCACATTTAATCGGTGCAACTTCCCCGCCCCCCCACCATGAGGTTGGTTTTATTATCACCATTTAATGGTTGAGGAAACAAGAGGCCAAATAGTTCAATAGCTTGCTTCTGTCTCCCTCCAGAGCCTATAACCTTTTCACTGACTTGTGCTGCTTCCACTCCGGACCTGAAAGGCAGGCTCTGAGGTTTCGCTAAGGAGTATTTCTGAGGTGCCCTAAAATCAGTATCTCAAAAAATAAGAGGCCAGGCCCTTGACTGGCAACAGATTCTCACTGGAAAAGCCTTTTTCAAAGGGAGCTTTTCTTTTGTAAATCAGAATCTTCTGAAAAATAATGAATCCTGCCAAACCTGCAACAGAGTAGTTTGACCTAAAATTCACTTAAGAAAAGGTTTCATTTCTATTTCAGAAACGATGGAAAAACCAAAGATTGGTATAAGACACGCTACACTGTGTTGGCTACCAGAAGACGGAATTTAAGGAGTGTGGAGTCCGAATTCCAGCCGGAGACTGGGCGCGAACTCTTCCTTTCCCCCAAGCCTCCAGCGCGGCCCCAGGACAGGGCTGGCTGCTCACAAGTGTCAGGGGCGGCTCGGGTTTGCGCCGCAGCTAGCAGATGTCAGGACTTCCCTCTCAGCAGGGTGAGAGGAGCCTGAACAAATGGAAAGAAACGGGAATTAAACTCTTTTCATGCCTGGTTATAATGAGTGATGTCTGGGGACTCTTTGACAAGGAAATTAAAAATCTTCTGCAGTTCATGGTTTAGTGAAAAGAACACTAACTTTCAAGTCAAGGGTTGGCTCAACCTCTTACCAGCTGTGTGACCTTGAACAACTGGCTGAACCCTCTGTGTTTCCGTACCTTGCCTGGTATTACTCTCACTATGAGGATACCAGGAGGATGCAGAGGGCCAGGGAACGTCACGCCTGGCACATAAAAGTCACTAAATAAGTGTTGGACTGCACCCTCCCTTCCTTGGGCTAACCTAGCAGAACAGAGGCCCTGGAGTCCTTAGAGCAGGGGTTCACTGTGCAAAGGCTCACCCAGACACTCTTTGCAACAAACATCTCCTTGCTCTGATGCAGTAGGTCAGAGGGGACACCTGCAGGCCCACAACAGGCCGGATTCCTAAGGCCCCACTTGGAGGAACAGTGCCCAAGACCTTTCTAACCGTGCACCTGTCGGGGACAAAACCACACTTGAACTGTGCCTCTCTAAGTTAGACACATGAAGAGATATTTTCTCCTCTCCTCATCTGTCTGCATCGGGGAGGGTGCCCAGCAGTCCCCCCCCCCCCCCCGCTTCATTCCGGAGTGTTTTGGGTGACATTGGGGCACAATGGCCGGCAGAGTGTCCTGCCAGCTCCCTAGCACTGTCCCTGTCTGGCCAGATTCATGCCATCAGCTGCTTCCAAAAACCTAAATCACGCCTTAGACATGCTGTGTAAAGGGGACCTTGAAGCAGAAAAAGTTAAGTGGGAAATGGAATCACTCTGCGGCAATTAAAGCCCTCTGAAATGACTTCCACTTCTCAGTATTCTAAAGGAATATTCTTACCCACCTCAATGCCTGGGACATTTTTCTGACGTTGCTCTTCAGGAAACACACATCTAGGTATTAGTGAATGCCTGGAGTTATCCGGTCACCAAGTTCTGTAAAAAAAAAAAAAAAGTCTATATTTCATTTTGGCCAAAGATTTTTGTTTATTTATTTAACAAAACAGCTAGTAAATTAACATAGTTGGCCTCCCTTACTTATTCTGTCTTCCATTCCCTCCTGACGGCTAGGAAGGAAAATAAACATGCACAGGAAGATGAGGAGGAGGAAGAAGGGGGCCAGGGAGAGAATGTCAGAGCATAGATTCCTCCTTATTACAGAGGCAACATGCAGGGTGTTGCCATGTGTGTGCAGCTGCAGACCACTTACAGATCCTGCTTATAGTTCCAGATCTTTGTCTTGACTGGGAATTAAATCAATACACTGAAGCCAGAAGCACAAACTGAAAGGGACCACGTAAAATCTTTTCGGGGGATGCGATCACTCCAACCACGCAACTGTCGGGCAATCGAGCAATGCACTAACATCGCCGAGTGTTCTTAAGTTATCCACCTGAGCTATTGGTTGGCTGGTCAGCTGCTACATGCTGGCTAACCCAGGACTCTAATCAGTGTCCATGACAAGGAAATGCAGAGGTCCTAAGGAAGCAAAACAAAACCAAACTGGCCTTGTGAGACTCACTGAAGTCACAGAGATAGAGTCCATCTCCTAAGAACCTAGAATTTTTCTTCCTCTCCCTTTCTCCTCCCCCTGCCCTCTCTCCCCTCTTTTTCTGGCTCTCATATTCACACATGCTAATTTTCCAACAGAAATTCCTCTTGTCCCAAAATGCCAAATTCGATGCCAACTACTTCTCTTTTGTTCAGCCCCAGTGCCTTCTCATATCCATCCCTGAAATCACACCCTGAAGCCATCACTTGTTGCTACAGGACAAAGGCAGGCATGGAAAAGAATATAAAATAAGGTCTGTGAGTTCTCTGAATATTTCAGATGAAATCTCTGTATGGTAGTCAAGCAGAGAGCTCCCCCTAATGACCAGCTCACGAAGGGAAAGAGCGAGCCAGAGGTTTCCTAGGGGCTGCGTTTCTGCAGACGGAAAACAAAACAGGCCACTTACCAAAAGGCTGATCGTGTTCAAAAAAGTCTTGCCCTCCTTGTACTCCCTCCGCTGGCACCCACAAATTTCCCTCCCATCGCCAGCAGCCTCAGTGTTAGAGTCCCACTTGTCAAGGCCACCTGCTGGGATGCCCTGTCCCCCCACCCCCCACCCCCGAGGAAAGCACGTGCCCGGGGCACGGTAAGGATCTTTCACACGCAACCTGGCTTTGATGGCGTCCCCTTGTCACGAGTGCCAGCCTGTCATGGTGGCCTCTTGGGAGCTGTTTGAAAAATTATAGTTGTGGTCCTGAATTAAAGGATTACATTTCTCCTGAAGGCCAGCTATCGGCTGACTCCAGTGCCAGGAAGGCACTCTTCGAAGTGTCCTCCCGTGTTTCTTTAAATCGTTACTAATCCTCTGGCTGAGAAGCAGCCAGCAAGTCTCACTGGGGATTTGTTTGCTCACGGATAGGGCAGGCCCCCGATATCTGCTCTGCTCAGGAGCACCTTGAGAACCAGAGAACAGCAAGCAAGAAGAGCAGCTTGCACATCAAAGGAAAACGAGTGTCATTGAGAGAAGCTCCCAGAAGCCTCCGAGTCATTCAGGGTCTCATCCCAGCCAGAATAGATGAGGATGTGGCCCCCCTCCAACCTTCTGCCCCTCATCCTCTTTCGGACCCGACCCCAATCAGGTCGGTAGGACCCAAGCCCCGCCAGGGGGCGCCATCTCCCACGCCCCAGATGTGGGGTATTAGCCCCAGGCCTCTTCTCCACTCCAGCTCCCACCCCCCCACCCCGCCCCACCCCGTCAGGACATTCACAACAGTCACCTGCTCCCAGAATTGCCCTTAGGACCCAGCGTGACGAAGGCATGAATCCGGAGGTGGCAAACCGGAGGCCAAATCGGGGCGGTCAGAGAGATTTTTTTTTAAGAGAGTGCGGTGTTTTCAAAAAGTCTGAATTATCAACATTTCAATATCAGGAGACTCCTTATATTAATCCTATCAAAAGAAGGCAAACCAGCTGCCTGGAGCCCGATGACACACACTCACACGGCCTGAGCCGCAGCTGGCCCGAAGAGGAGCCTGGACCTCACCACTCATGTCCAACTCCCCACTCACCTTACCCCCTACCCCCCACCCCCAGTCGGCCGCCCTCCCTCGAGCTACTGGCCTGGCCCCTGAGGCACTGTGTTTGCAACCATGAATTAATCAGATATATAACACATTAACACAGATTAGTTTATTTGGCACCTCTCCCAGGTAACATCTTAACCCAGTTAAAATGCCTGTCTACGGGAGATTCCTAAGAAGTGATTCTAATGAAATCTGATAATGGGAAGGTCAATGGGGGAAAATATTCTAGCTTCAGAAAGCTTTTCAGCACCTTCTAATTTCTCAGTGACAGTTGGGTACTTGCCACATTTTCAACACAGGACCCACTTTGTACTATCTGGTTGATTTGTTCAAATTCGTTCCACGTGAGAAATAAAAATAGAGAACATAGAGTAACCTTATTAAATCCTTTTTGGAACGAAGCAGTCTGCATCAATAAATACACAATGTTGAGATGGGCCTCAAATTGGGGACTGAAAGAAATCAGAACAATTTGTTTGTATTTTCCTTCTGATTGGTTTTTAAAGGACTCCATATCCGTAAGTCAAAGATGTTGTCTTCAGGCAAATGTTGAGTTGTTTTCAGCTAAGAAAAAAAAATCCAGGCAGACCAGGAGTTATCACAATGACAATCACAGGGTTCAAATGCAGACAGCCAATGCAAAATTTTCAAAGTAGAACTTTGAAAATTATTTTGAAAAAGAAATTGCAAGCCTACTGTTTTATGCTTTGCTCCTTAAAATAAGTGCTTGGGGCACCTGGGTGGTTCAGTCAGTTAAGTGTCCAGCTCTTGATTTCAGCTCAGGTCATGATCTCAGGGTTGTGAGATCAAGCTCCAAGTTGGGCTCCATGCTGGGCGTAGAGCCTGCTTATTCTCTTTCTCCTTCTCCCTGTGCCCCTCCCCCATCCACCTTCCCCCTCTGAATGCACTCTCTCTCTAAAAAATAAAAATAAAAAATAAAATAAAAAGAGTTTGGTTGGATGGGTTTATTTACTCAGTTGATAGAGATAGAAGTAAGTAAATAAAACTATAGACATTATAATAGTATATAGAAAAAACAAGTCCTATGTTCCAAGGATAGAATCTACCAAATTTTCATTGTCTCCCTCTGAGTCTCCAGCCCAGAACTCAACACCCCAGGAGCGTGCTTAAATACCTGATGCCTGACTGTGTCCATGAAGCCATGCTTCTCAGCCTATTATACTACAACTTGTCCTATTTTACCTGAAGGACTTTTCCAATTAGAATGTTGTAATCAGAAGTTAATCAGGCAGAACATTCATAATACTGTCTATAATTTTACCAGAAAAAATATATTTGTTCCAGATAGTAGATTTTTTTTTAATCTCTCTACCTTTTACAGCTTTATAGAACTAAGTTTTTTAAATTTAAGACAAAATTTGGGGCGCCTGGGTGGCTCAGTTGGTTAAGCAACTGCCTTCGGCTCAAGTCATGATCCTGGAGTCCCTGGATCGAGTCCCGCATCGGGCTCCCTGCTCGACAGGGAGTCTGCTTCTCCCTCTGACCCTCCTCCCTCTCATGCTCTCTGTCTCTCAGTCTCTCTGTCTCAAATAAATAAATAAAATCTAAAAAAAATAAAAAATAAAAATAAATTTAAGACAAAATTTTAAAGCACAAACGATAAAAATGCTGTAAAATAATTTTCATAAAAATTACTAGAAAGGTATCCTTGATTTTTAAAAACTACCTTTTTGAATCCTCTACTTGGGTAAAACCTTCATTGACCCAAGCACTCAACTTAGCAGATAATATTTTTGTAATTTTATCAAAAATAAGCAACAACAATAAAAATTGTTCATTGGAAATATAATTGTTGAACAGGATGAATAATTCAACTTCTACATCTTTCCAGACAGCTAGAAGACTACCTAATAAGCAGTCATGATAAAACAGAAACCTTACAACACTGAAAGATAATAAAATCTCAGACAATACCAGAAACTTTCAGTTTATCTATTCTAACACCCTTCATTTCATAGGTGAGGAAACAGAGGTAGCGAGTGTTCAAGTGAATTGTCTAAGAAGTTACACTGTTTCTTAGAAGCAAAAGCAGGTATGACTTCTGGTTTGGTGCGCTCACCATCATTCCAGGCCTTAGTGAGGGAAGATCAAAAGCGTGGAATATTCTGCATTAAATTAAGGCAACCGGGAGAGTTTATAAACACCCCTTCCCAATAATGGATTCTAGAATTTTTAAGCCTTTAAATTTTTTTTAGTGTTTTTCTAAACATTTCTTTTGAGAGAGAGAGAGAGCATGAGTGGTGGGAGAGGGGCAGCAGGAGAGGGAGAGAGAGAATCTTAAGCAGGTTCCATGCCCAGCGCAGAGCCCAACACAAGGCTCGATCTCACAACCCTGAGATCATGACCTGAGCCAAAATCGAGAGTCAGATGCCCAACAGACTGAGCCACCCAGGCACTCCAAGCCTTTCTTATAAGAATTCACTGACTACACCAAATGGCCTTTTAGAAACATGAGCACTTGTTGATTCAACAGGCATTTATTGTCACACTTGCCAGCGTGCACAGGCCCCCAGACTAGGCTCAGAAAGAATGACAAAGAAGCATTTGCCTGCCCTCCAGAAGCTTCCAATCTCTTAGAGGAGACAAGAAATAAATGTGTGAAATAGTTAACAGAAAATGTAAAGAATCACACCGAATCAATGGTAGGGCAAAGTGTTACAGGATTAGCCAAAGAGCAAGACCAAATATGGCCAGGTGGCATCAGGAGACACCCTTCATGGAAGCTGATGCTTGAACGAAGCTCGGTTAAACCATTAAGGGGGCGGGGGAGGGGCAGAA